AACGTCTCTGAAGAGGGGAAAACCTGGCCCTGGCTTCTGTGCTTTCTGATCGCTGACAGTACGGTGGAGCAGATTTCTGGCCTCCACGCAGTCTGTTGTTGCATCTCCCCTAGGGAGAGACTTCTGAAGACTAGGGGCTTCTGAGCATCTGCCCTTTTCTTGAGACACACGGGAGACTCGAGTGATTGGCCAACATCAGGGTTTCCTTGCAGGTGTGTTCTTACCTATCAAGTAGGCAGTCACTGGGTGCAACATTCTGAAGAGGTCACACCAATTTATACTATAGATTTAGTGCCACCTTGGAAAAATTATACACTGTGTACAATCCTGGAAGATTTGGGAACTTGCAAGAGTCTGGCTGTGCGTCCTTGGGAACAAATCTGTGGCTATCTCTTCAGATAGATTAAGGAACAGTAAAGAATAACAGATTAATGTCCCTCTCCAAGTCTTTACTAGGGAGCCATCTGTGGGGAGCTGGGCAAAAAACGCAGGGATCCCTCCGTTTCTGAATTCTCATTATCTGAGGACTGCAGACAATTTTACTCCAAATTCACTCTAAATCAAAGCCCACTCTAATGAATCTGCAGGTACCTGCCAACCAAAATATGTATTTTAGGGACGCCTGGGTGGCTCAGTCGGTTACACATCTGCCTTCAGCTCATGTCATGATCCCAGGGTCCTGGGATGGAGCCCCACATCAGGCTCCCTGCTCAGTGTGGAGCCTGCTTCTCCCTGTCCCACTCCCCCTTCTTGTGTTCCCTCTCTCTATATATCAAATAAATAAATCTTTGTTTATGTGGTTTGTCCATTATGGGTATCAGCTCTGGATTTTTAATGGCTATGGAATGAATGTTTCTGTGACCACCCCCCACCCCGGCCCCATCAAAAAAATGCTTATGTTGAAATCCTAACCTCCAAAAGTAATGATATTAGGAAGTCAAGCCTTTGGGAAGTGATTAGGTCTTGAGGGTAAGGGCCACATGAATGAGATCAGTGCTCCGATCCAACAGACCTCACAGAGCTCCCTTGCCCATTCCTCCGTGTGAGGACACAGCGAGAAAGAAGCACAGGCTATATACAGGAAAAGGGCCTATGCCAGAAGGCAACAGGCTGTAACCTTGATTTTGAACTTCCTACCCTCCAGAACTATGAGAAATAAATTTCTATTGTTTATAAGTTTGTTGTATTTTATTACAGCAACCCAAAAGACTAGGACATTAAATAAAAATGTCTTCTGAGAAATTGATCCTGCTGGTTAGTTGCTGGCTAACAACATTTCAGGGGAAGAGATCATCTCAAAGTCAAAAGTCACAGATATTGCTAAGGTGAGAGCCCTGTAAATACACATGTAAATATAAATATATATATGCTATAATTATATAGGGAAAATGTGAAAGAACGTGAAGTTCTGGTTCACCTCACTGTTGGTCAGCAAAAAGAGAAAGGGGAAGGAGAATAAATACTCAGTGCCAAATGTTTAAAAGATACTTTAGGTCACACACAGGAAATGATTGTTGGTGTCAGTGACCGTGATCGTGACACGAGCAGAAGCATCACTTCAAAACTGCATTTCCAGGCATGATTTTGTTCCTGGGAACTGCCTAGCAGGAAGATAAGGGAACGCTAGCCATTTTGAGGAGCTGTTTTATTGGCTGTTTGGGGTTTTGTCCTAGTGTTTCAGGCAGCGCTTCTCAGTCACTGACTGAGCCTTAATTGCCACGTTGAGAAGACTAACTATTCCTTGAGTTTCGACCCGGATAAACCTCCAGCAGGCACCTACTGCCCACTTCACTGTTCACTAGTCCATTCTCACTCAAACCTCACCAGTTGCCAGACCTCCACCAAGACCATAATCCCTCTTCCCTCACACCCACAAACCTCCCTGGGGCGGTTAGAAAGTAGCTATTTTTTAATTTCCTCGCTTTATCCAATTTTCTTTTCCTACGTGTTATTATGTATCTTCAACAGAGTATGTCCTTTTTTGACCTTGCAGTGTGCCGTTCATTGCCTTGTAAAAGGAAAGCACAATCCGTATCCGATACCGTATAGTCTCCTTGAGTGCTGCATACACACATACTGTTCATGAGCTCAGGAACTGTCAAATAACTGAACAATAAGTATTTTATTATTTTTTAAATATTTTATTTATTTATTTGACACACAGAGAGAGATCACAAGTAGGCAGAGAAGCAGGCAGGAGAGAGGGAGGAAGCAGGCTCCCTGCTGAGCAGAGAGCCCATTGCAGGGGCTCAATCCCAGGACCCTGAGATCATGACCCGAGCTGAAGGCAGAGGTTTAACCCACTGAGCCACCCAGGCGCCCCAACAATAAGTTTTTTAAATGCTTTAGTCATGCACTTAATAAATTGTTACAGGAGTTGAAAAGCGATGTTACTGATATGTAGGAAACTTGGCCGCATTTTTCATGGACAAGGCATGAATGAGTATTTTTCCCATTTAAAATACTAGCACAGGGACGCATGGGTGGCTCAGTCTGTTAAGCGTCTGCCTTCGGCTTGGGTTATGATCCCAGGATCCTGGGATCGAGTCCCATGTTGGGCTCCTTGCTCTACGGGGAGCCTGCTTCTCCCTCTGCCTGCTGCTCCCCCTCCTTGTGCTCTCTCTCTCTCTGACAAATAAATAAAATCTTTTTTAAAAAAAAGGTAACTTTTTAAAAAATGGTAGTCTTTTAAAGGACAATTGTACAGAGTTTCTACTGCATTCCAAGTAAATCTCTCATTTGGTTCCTTCTGGAGACTCTGAGGGAGAAAGTTCCAGGCCTTTCTCCTAGCTGCTGGTAGCTGTGGGCAATTCTTGGCATCCCTTGGCTTGTAGACCTATCACTCCAATCTCTGGTTTTGACTTCACATGGCCTCCTCCGTGTGTGTGTGTGTGTGTGTGTGTGTGTGTGTGTATCTCTAATGTCCCTCTCCTTTCTTTTATAAGGACACCAGTCACTGGATTTAGGGACCTTCCAAGATCCAGGGTGATCTCAACTCGAGATCCTTAATTATTTCTGCAAAAACACCCTATTCCCAAGTAAGGTCTCATTCACTGGGGATGTGGAGTTAGGACTCAGATATATGTTTTTAGGGGACACAATTCAACCTGCTATCCATGTCAACACAAATAACACATTTTAAATGAAAAATAGCCATATGTCCCGAGTAAAAATTTAGTGGTGAATGATATTGCTCCTTATTTTTGTAAATCTTTTTAATATCAGGATTCATAAGCTAAGTGCTCATCTGCTTTTTTACTTTCAATCCATTATTTTGTTGTTTCGGTTGAGATACATGATGAATAAAAAGCCTCCACTCAGAGAATCTCAGACCCTACTGGGAGGATTTCAGAGGCTCCCAGGGGTCTTCGGGACACACTTTGAGAAGCACTCTCTCAGGTATACACTTTAAAATATATGCAAAGTGGAATTTCTAGGCATATGTATGTATCTCCTGCTTTCCTAGGTAATGCCACACTCTTCAACGTTTGTATCACTTTACACATGACTAGCAGTGTTTGAGGGATCTTCTTGCTCAACATTGCTGCTCACCAACCTCTGATATTGTTACACTTTAGAAGCAGGTGAGTGGGAGGGGCACCTGGGTGGCTTAGTCCAGTTGGGCATCTGCCTTAAGCTCAGCCCCTGATCCCATCGGGCTCCCTGCTCCCTGGAAAGTCTGCTTCTCTCTCCTTCTGCTGCTCCCCCAGCTTGTTCTCTTGCTCTGTGTGTCCAATGAATAAACAAAATGTCAAAAGAAAAGAAAAGAAAATAGAACCCATGTTTCCTACTTTGAAATTCATTCTTTCTTCCTCTCCAGACGCAAACAATGCTTCTGTTTCTGGCCCAGTTCTCACCAAGATGCAATCTCCTCCAGATCTTATCTCCTTGGGGGTCCTCTCCCCACTGCAGAGGCTTTGGGTACCAGAGGCCACTGGAGGTCCTGCATCTCCTTCCTTACCAACACCCCTCACCCCCACCAGGCCTCTTCCTCCGCCTCCCTCCCTTCCCTGCCTGGCTCCTACCCACCTCACCCTATTTACTTCTCATAAAGCCCTCTACCACCTTCTGCTGATCATCTTTGAGTGCTTGAGCCTCACCATGGTCATTTCTTTAAAAATGGCATGATCCCTAAGATGTGTTCATATGCACAAGAAAATGTATAATTTAAGAAATCAACACGTTTGTTACTATCACTATTACCTAGAGTTTTGTTTTGGTGTTTTTTTTTTTAAAGATTTTATTTATTTATTTGACAGACAAGTAGGCAGAGAGGCAGGCAGGAAGAGAGAGGAGGAAGCAGGCTCTCCCCGGAGCAGAGAGCCCCATGCGGGGCTCGATGCCAGGACCCTGGGATCATGACCCGAGCTGAAGGCAGAGGCTTTAACTCACTGAGCCACCCAGGCGCCCCACCTAGAGTTTTTTTTAAAAGCACTCCAGCACAAACCAGGCTGTGATCATAGTCAAGTTACTCAACTTTTTGGATCCTCAATTTACTCATCATGAAAATAGGTGTCATCATACCTGACTGCGCAGAAGGACTTGTGTAATACGCTTGGCACGGTGCCTGATAAGGAGCGCTCAAATGACGTTTATTTTTATTTAACAAAAGCTTATTGAGTGCTTACAATACCAAAAAGTAAGGTGCCCTCTGCAAGTACTGAAGCCCTGTAATAATGCTGGGTAAGGTAGTACTGTCTTCATTGTACAGATGGAAACGCTGAAGCAGAGCGGTTGACGTGGTACCTGCAGGCGGCACGCCCCACCGAGACACCAGCGGGACACACCCTTCTCTCTGGCCCCGCCCCGCCACGTTCAGGACGATGGCCCCGCCCCTCGCCTCCCGAGCCGGCCGCAGCGAAGCCGACGTCTCGCGAGCTTCCACGTACACACTCCAACGCCTCTCCGCCTCTGCGCGGGGAGAGCACATCCGGGTTGCTGGAGCAGGTGCCTCAGGCCCCGCCCCCTTTTTCCAGGCGCTCGCCCTACTTCCGGCCATCTCGGGCCTTTTCCGCCGGTGCAGTGCCGGCCTTATCTCCGCTCTGTAGGTCGTTCCCGGCGCCAGGCCCGGGTCCCTGCGCACCGCTCGTCGGCACCCAGCGGCTAGCTCCTCCTCCCGAATCTCCCCGAGGCTCGGAGCGACTCTGCCGTGCGTCTTCGCGGGCCGCCCGGGCTGAGGCCTGCAGCGCGCGGCGAGTCGGCGCCGACCTGACCCTGCGTCTCCCCGCAGCTCCGTTGAGGCCGCCGCCGTCGCCTCGGGATGCCGGGGCCGGGGTCCGCGCAGCGCTGGGCGGCCGCCGCGGGCCGTTGGGGCTGCAGGCTGCTCGCGCTGCTGCTGCTGGTGCCGGGGCCCGGCGGCGCCTCCGAGATCACCTTCGAGCTGCCGGACAATGCCAAGCAGTGCTTCTACGAGGACATCACGCAGGGCACCAAGTGCACCCTCGAGTTCCAGGTACTCCGTGCTCTCGAAGTCCAGGGGCCTCAGCTCGCGGTTCCGGGGTCGGGGCTGCATCCTGCTTGCGGCCTCCCTCCTGCCGTGGTTTTTCCGTTCTTTGGCCGAGTCAGGAATCCTAGGTAGCCGATGCGGGGCATTGGCTTGTCCTGTTCTAAACCTGGGGCGAGGGCCATTTTAGACCAGATAGGAAAATGCGTGGATTCCAGAAATGCTTCCTGTAGCTGTTACTTGTCCTTCCATGCTCCGGTGGCCTGCATTTCAACGCCAGTCGAACTTCCCTCCTTGAAAGACTCTCCTTTCTTAAGAAAAAGTTCTTCCTGTTCTGTGGCGCTCAGTGTCCCGTCCCCTGCTCTCCCTGACCCGCACCTCCAGTTTAATCAGATTTGAAGGACGGCCAGTGTCTTTTCCCACTGATGTTACTAGGACTTTAGGTGAATTCTGCCCCCTCTCATGGGAAGAGCTCCATCAGAGGCCGGGTGAGCACCTGCCAAAGGTGTAGAACGAAGAGGTGTGATCGGTGAGAGGCCCCTTTTTGTCTTTGGGATTTTATAGAAAACGGGCTTTAATTCACAGAATGTAGTTTATTAAGTTTGTTACAACAATCTTTATTTCTATTTTCCTTGGTAGGCTGCCTTAACATATGAGTAGCTGTTGAGTGGTAGGTGCTGGTGATTACAGAAGTGGTTCAAAAAAGCTTGGGTCACTGCCATCATTTTTGATTCCCTACCCATCCTACCCTTTCCCTCCCCACCCCCATCCTACTCTTTTCTTAGTAATTGCCCATTCATCAAGACTCTGCTTTAAAAAAAAAAAAAAAAGACTGCTTTAAGAGCAGAAAATAGGAGGTTAAATGATCTATCTTTGGGAGCGAGGATGGCTTCCTTTAGAAAGTGATTTTAAGCTCAACTCTAAAAGATTAGTTGTACATACTTTGGTATGTACCAGGAGTGACTGGGTATTTGAGGACCATTGAGAGATCCAGTATAGTTGGGAATAAGGAGCCAGAGGAAGGGAGGTCAGGGGCCAGACCATGTGCCTTGCTGGCCTCGTTAAAGATTTTAGTTTTTCCTAAGAGTATGGGAGAGCTCTCAGGGTTGTAAGCAGTGCAGTGCTGTGATCCAGGTGTTTTGGGTAGTTATGTGGATATTTACTTGTGCAGGTAGAGATATTAGAGTGTTGGAGAGTGGTTGTGGAAGACCGATGCGGAGAGTACTAGAGTGGGTCAGCCTTCTAGGATGGGAGCTGTGGGGAAGGAGGAAAGTGAAGGGATTGGAGAGAAGTTAGTAGGTGAAATCAAGAACTTGGTGGTGATTTGGCTTTTGTGAGTGAAGGGAGGGAGGCTAAGGATCACCCTTTGGTTTGTTTAACTCTATGGATCAGAACCAGGGTACGGAAAAGAAGATGGCAGGGTGGCAGTATGGAAGTGTGTGTTTCACGTGTCAGTGCCAGACACTGTGCTTGGTGCTGAGAACACTACCACTACTATTCTAGGCTAAAAAAAAGTAGATCTTTTATGTAGCAGAATATAGATAACAGTTCTTTTTTACTTCCAAAGCTGAGGCTTTGGAAGCTTTAAACAGGGTCACAAAACTTAGCCAGGAGCAGAATCAGTATGCAGTCCCAGGTTAAATTCTCAACTCCTTTAAGACACACACCACTTCCCAAAGATCAATAAGACTGACCGACCTTGACCTCCGGGAGCTTCCATGGATACGTTACCGTCATGCAGTGTTAAAGGCAAGAGCGAAAGTGCACGCTCGGTACAGTGCTGGCCAAAGGCAGAGGGATCCTCAAGGGAAAGGTAGCTGAGGGGCTGATGTTTGAGCTGTGTCTAGGAGATACAGAACTTACTCTACAAGATGGCAGAGGGGGAAGGGCATCCTAGGCAGGTAGACTGTGAGACTCAATTCCTGAAATCAGCTTGAGCCCCCACGAAATACGGTGAGTACTAGTGTTGCTTTGTAACTGTGGATCCAGTAGCACTAGCGGTCGATCCTACCAGTTTGTCAGCACTGTTTATGGGTAACAGATCGATGATGAACGCTCTTGCTGAAACTGCCTCCCTAAAAGGCTGTGCTGTCGAGACTGGTTACTAGGTAGGAATATCTCGATGTGACCAGCAAAATAGGAAAAAAAAAAAAACCCAGCCAGGCCTCCTTTTGGGGCTCACTGGTTCCAAGGTTCACTGGCTCACTGGTTCTTTGCACACTTGGGTGCTTCCTCATCTGAGAGTCTGTGTCCGGCTTCAGCCCTCACAGAGGGAGGACGAAGGAACCCACACCTAACTTCCCAATCTCTTTCTGTGAGACAGCTGTTGACTCTGGTAGTTTCTATTTTTCTCCTGTAATAAGCTGTAGATTGGTAAGCATTGCCATTGTGGGTCCTGATTCTTTAACAGACAGCACCTGTTTAACCTGTGGCTGTTCATGCAGGTGTAGAACAGACTGGTTCAGAGACCTTCTGGCCCTCTGCTATTTCTGGAACACAGAGTGAGGAAGGGTATAAAAGAGGTGCCAAGGCTACCTTGAAGGAGGTGCAGAGGCGTAGTTTGGCATTGTTTGCACTTTTCTGGAGGTCACAGGAATTGAGAAAAGGTTTTAAGCGAATGAGGGATGGGGAGGTGGGGAGGTTGCCCCCCCCCCACATGTGGGGATTGGGGAGGCTACTGGCATCTGGGGGTTGGAAACCAGAGAGGCTGCTCAACAGGCTGCGGTGCCCAGGGCCACCCAGTCCGTTCCCATGAAGAATTATCCAGCCCTAAGGGAGCTGAGGCTGAGAATGAACCCCTGGGTTGGAGGGAGGAGAGATCGGGTTGTGGGAAGACCTTTTAGGAAGTTGTGCCTTTAGTCCTATCTAGGGTAGGCCTTGGATTAGGAATGGAAGAGATGGGATGAATTTGAGAGAGGCAGTAACGTCAAGAGATTTCTGTGAGAACTGGACAAGTAGGGACACTTCGGGATGATTCCCAGTTTCTAATTTCTGTGACCACACAGATTGTGAAGGGGTACTTTTTAAATCTGAAATAAGATTATTTGTTTTAAAGTTTGGTGGAGGAGAAGTGGCATGATGATCAGTTCTGGCCCTTTGTGTACACATTTGTGTCCATTTGTGTATACATTTGATGATCAAATACAGCGGCCACATGTGAACACTTGGATTTATAAAAAACTGCTTCTGCCTTCAGCTCAGGTCATGATCTCAGGTCATCTGGCTCTGCTCAGCCGGGAGCCTGCTTCCCTTCCTCTCTCTGCCTGCCTCTCTGCCTACTTGTGATCTCTGTCTGTCAAATAAATAAATAAAATCTTTATTAAAGTCATGATTTTCACTTGGAGGAAAGGTTGACATTTGGAGGAGTGGTAAATGTCTAATTGTTAAGACGCTTTTTATGTCAAAACATTATATCCCTATGTTAATATATGTCTATTTTTGCAGTTCCCTCAGTACATAATTATACTTCATTTAATTATCATAATGATCTTGTAGTTAGTTCAGTTATTGGTCTTGTCTCCTACATGACAAAAGGTCACATTAGCAGCCAGTCCTTCTTTGAAGTGCAGAGTTGGATCTCTGTCCTACAAATCTATAAAGTCAATATTAAGCTAACCAAGAGGGTTCAAGCCTGAAAGTACAGGCTTGTGCCCACCCCCGTCCCCATCTCGGGTGCTTGGGAGCCCTCAAATGCATGTCTCTCATATCTTTCCCAACTTTGCAGCTTGCACCCTTTCTTTCCTATGTCCTGTGCCCCTCCCTCTCTATTCCTGCTTATTTCTCCCTCCTATAAGGAGGCCTTTCTCCTCCCTAATCCTTTTCTGACTATGCCTATCCCATTACCTCAGGAAAACTCTTCCTGCCCATCTGTGCAACCCTGATGGCCTATCAACTGTAACTGATTGAGTATAAGCCCTTGAAAACAGCTCCAGAATCCTCTTCAGAACATTTCATTTACCTCCCCCACCCCAGCTTTCTTTCCAAACGAGCTTGTTCTAAAATACAAGCTTTCCAGATAAGCAGATTTGTTTGCTTTTGTTTTGTTCTGTTTTGTTTTTGCTTTAATCACAAGTGTACAGACAATATAGTTTAGTCCTTAATGTTTCTTTGGAGAACAAATATGTAAAATAATGATAAACTCTTAGATACCCCAGAAGTCTATTCAGTTCATAATGTAGTTCAAAACAAAATATGTATCACATTCCATATAACTGACTTATAGAAGCACTTATGAAACAAACCCATCTGTAATTCATCAGTAAAATGAGTTGAAGTTCTGTAATAGAAACATGCTTGGGGTGTCATGCCAGGGGCCGGTCTGCTTTCCTACTTTACTGAATTATCTGTGTGTGTGCTTGGATGGTGCTGAGAGGAAATCACAGGAGAAGATTTGGGGAGGGAGAATATTACATGACCGTGAGCTTAAGGGACAAGAATCTGACTTTAGAATTCAGGTTCTGCCTCGGCCTTTTGCTAGATGAGCACTCTTGGGTAGGTTGCTTGTCTTAACTCCATTTCTCAGCCTGTCAGATGGAGAGCCAAGATCCCTCTCTTATAGGGTCATTGGGAGAATCGAGTGATTCCCTCCCTTTACTAGAACAGTTGCCTGGCTGGTTAGCTAGTCCCTCTCTCGTCATAAGGAAATTTGTTTGGTTTCTATAAAGCTTCAGTTGAACTGACATCTGCCTCCCAAATTCCATCCCCTGCTGGATTGAAAAAAAAAAGTAAAATTGCCTGTGATAGGGAAAAACCTTTGCCAATAGCCTTATTGTCATTTTAACAGGAAATCTGGTTACTTTCTCAAACTCATTAGTTGCAATGATGTGTTCCTTTCTCCCCCTTCTCTCTACAGGTGATTACTGGCGGTCACTATGATGTAGACTGTCGACTAGAAGATCCTGATGGTAACGTGTTATACAAAGAGATGAAGAAACAGTATGATAGCTTTACCTTCACAGCCTCCAAAAATGGGACATACAAATTTTGTTTCAGCAATGAATTTTCTACTTTCACACACAAAACCGTCTATTTTGATTTTCAAGTTGGAGAAGACCCACCTTTGTTTCCTAGCGAGAACCGAGTCAGTGCTCTTACTCAGGTAAATAAAACGTCAGCAATATAGTGGTGTGTTTAAAGAGGGGGAAGCATAAATTAATATGCCTTAACTTACTGACGAACACAGAAGTTTGAGGCTTTTACACAATCTTTAAGATCTATCTTAGTTCTTACAGTAGATTAAGCCTTTCACATAGAACTTTGGACATTTTTGGTGAAAACCACTGTTAAAGGATGTTATGAACTTTAAGGTGTAAAGAAAAACCTTGAAATAGGAGGATCGCTTCAGTGGGAAAAGAAGTTTAGGAAGACTGGACAGTGCTCCCACATTGTGAAGGCATGGAGGGATATGATTTCATTAACTGGAAATAAAATGATGCCTTAATTGATGCATAAATACGCCTCAGGCAGTGTTATACCAGTGTTTAGTGTCAATTCATGCTGCTATTAGAATAGTGTTTGCTGTAACTTAAAGTAAAATATTAAAGATTAGTGGTAAGTCATCTAACAGAAAATAGGTAAAGGGCGCCTGGGTGGCTCAGTTGGTTAAGCAGTTGACTCTTGATTTTGGCTCAGGGTCTCAAGGTCTTGGGATTGAGTCCTGAGTAGGGCTCTGCACTTGGCTTGGGGGTCTACTTGAGGATTTTCTGTCTCCCTCTGCCCCTTCCATCTCTAAAATAAATCAATTGATCTTAAAAAAAAAAAAAAAGTTAAGGAAGATAAAGGTAGATTGGATTTTATTTTGAAGAAGACCTTAAGGAGAGAAAGATAAGGAAAGAAATTGAAAGTCAATGAACAGATGCTGCTCAGGTGATGAGAAGGGCTCTTTAATTTCCAGTTTAAATGTAGTCTGAGCTTAGATTGTATCTAAAAGAGACTCAGTTGGGTATCCAGAGGAATTGTTTACTATCTACTTGTTAGGACCTTAAACTGGTATTTCATTCTTCCCAGGTTCTAGTTAGTCTGTTGGCCAAAGTCATAGAGGCAGTTTTGAATAATGTGTAAGAGCCTTAATTCCTAAACCTACTGTAAGCATTAACAGGATGTATTTACATGCTCGTGCTTTTAGAATTTTAGCATCCTGTAAGAATGGCACTTTGTCTTGTTTTTTAAAGATTATTTATTTATTTGATAGAGAGAGAGAGAGCACAAGCCAGGGGAGAGGCAGGCAGAGGGAGAAGCAGGCTCCCCGCTAAGTAGGGAGCCTGATGCAGGGCTCGATCCCAGGACCCTGGGATCATGACCCAAGCTAAAGGCAGGTGCTTAACGACTGAGCCACCCAAGCGTCCCAACACTTTGCTTTGTAAGAAGATTTATCTTTGGGGCCCTTGTTTATAACTTAACCTTCATGAATTTTAATTTGTATAGGAAGGTAGCTTGCCCTAAAAGCCTGAATAGATAAATATAAGAAATACATGGTAATAAAGCAGTTGGTATTTGTTTTTAATAGTACAATGAGGAATTACTTTTTTTTTTTTTAAGATTTTATTTATTTATTTGACACAGAGAGAGAGAGAGAGATCACAAGCAGGCAGAGAGGCAGGCAGAGGGAGATGGGGAAGCAGGCTTCCTCTTGAGCGGAGAGCCTGATGTGGGGCTCGATCCCAGGACCCTGAGACCATGACCGGAGCCGAAGGTAGAGGCTTAACCCACTGAGCCACCCAGACACCCCAACAATTGGTATTTTTTATCCATTTATTCATCTCACATTTTTAATTTTTTCTTAGTCTTAACTTTTCTCCTTTCAAAGAGCGAATAAGTCCCTCATACAGTAGTGATACTTACAAAGCAGGTAGTTCACACCTTAAAGTGAAAAAAAAATTAGCAGCTGGTAAATGCAGAAAAATTATAGAGTTGTTATAAATTCCTGTTTTCCACCTGTTAGGAAGGCGACGGGTTTGGAGTAGACCGGGATTACCGGTCCCTGCTAAACCACTAGGTGAAAGGCTGAGGGGAGGTTTCCAGTGACTGGATCACACTGACACCACCTCAACCTAATGACCAATCCCAGATGGAGAGATAACTAGGCGTTGTGTGTCTTCTGTGTGTCTTTGCATTGAGGACGTACATAGCGTTGTCTGGGAAGTGTTCCCATCCAGAACATTGTGTCTGAATCCCTTCAAGTCTCTTGCTCCAATACCAGTTTACAGGGAAAACAGGCTGGAGGAACACCATAAGGATACATGGTCAGCAAAATCCAGGATGTTGGAAATGCTGCAGGACGGTGGACCCATTTCTTCCAACAGACAGGAAGGGAAAGAAGCAGGAAGAGAACCTAAAGATTCAAGTAGACTTAAAAGACACACCAACCAAGTGACTGTGTCCAAGTTGTTTGGATTCCGATTTGGAAACAACTCTTTTGAGATACTTGGGGAAGTTTGAACATTAACTTTCAATTGAAACATATTAAAAACTATTTTTGATTATTTTATGGGCGATAATGCCCCTGGGGTTACAGTTTTCAGGGTTGCCTTTCAGAAATGAGTAGAAAGTGTTAGAGTATCACTGAAATGATAACACACAAGGGATTTGCCTTAAGTTAATTAGAGCGGGGAGGAAAATAGGTGAGGAATACTTGTTGGTGAAACAAGATTAGTCGTGGGTTCTTTACTGACATGAGGTTTCATTGGACTGTGCTCTTCTGAATGTGAACTTGAATATGAACATAACTGCTTAGGGTTTCCCTTTTTTCCCTACATTTTCTGTCTCAAAAACTATATGAATAGTTTTTGTTGGTCCCTTAATTTGTGTGATTTTCTTTCATCCAGCACTTCTTAACCCTCACTCTATGTCAGGCTTCAGGGAGTCCTTAAACATTCTGAATTTGTGTCAGGTCCTTACTTCTGTGCATACTTCCAGGGTTAGCTCGCATATCATTCTGACAATGCTTGGAAAGTAGAGATCGGGGGAAGCACATCTGTAGCCCCCTACCACAAATTAGAAGGCATTCATTTTAGCACATTTCTGCTAATCTTTGATTCCTCGGGGCCTAAACAAGAATAACAAAGATGTCGGGTATTCTAATAGACACCTGCAATCTGTGGACCACATAAGTTCTCGCGCTTGTTAGAACCGTTTTAATGGAATATTTTTATAAATGATTTCTTTCATACTTACTTTGGAAGAACTTTGTTAAATGTTTGAATTCTTTTCCAGTGTCTGTATTCCTTCATTAAAATTAAGCAGGAAAAAAATATTCCCAGAATCTTTGGAGAGATTCTGTGGATTTATTAGTAAAAGGAGTAAAAGAAGTAAAAGAAGCTGTAAAAGTTATAAACATGTTAGGAGACGTGAGACCAAATAACTTTGTAACGTAGAGGTATTATAGTGACTGAGTTAGCTTAACGATTTTGGGATCCAAAAGGAGAGAGAGGAACAGAAAGGAATGTTGGAAGGTTGCTAAGATGAACTTCATTTAGTGGAGAATTTTCCAGAATACAGGAAAGTAGTAATCTTCACCACCTTCCTCCCCGTGCTTCCCACACTCAGTGGTCCTTGTCACTGACCTGTGTCATAAAAATGTTTTTCCTTTGTATGGCTGTGCATAATATACGTTCCTTCCGTAGTGATGAGGGAAAAAACCCTGATTATTTTTTTAAATTCTTAATATATGGTTTGTGATATAGAATAAGTATAATTTAATAATTGTATAAATATTATATAATATTAAATAGTACATACTAATATAATATATAGATAGTTAATATATATTATATAAAATAATATATAATTATATGATAAAACATATAAAAATAATAAAGTGTGTATTTCATCACTAGAATTAAGTTTTCAGCAGTAGAAGAATACTAAACTCTGCTGTATAAAAGAAAGTTTAGACATTCAACCCTTCTCGAAGCAGATCACGTGATGAACGTGTAGAGAGGTGAGGTGCCGTCAGGTGACGGCTTACAGACTGATGACATGGTGAAGCTGGAACTTCTTCCCTTTGAGAACGGTCCTATAGGTTCCGCTGACTGGCAGGAGGAAGGAGACATATTTAGCAAATGGGTAAATTAAAAAATGAAAGACTTTGATGCTCTGACTGATCACTCTCAGACTCAACTGCTTTTAAAATCGTTAACTTTGACTGATTCAATCTATTTTTGTGTCATACTTGGTTTATTTTGTAGACATTTGGGTTTTGATTTGTCTTCTTACTCATCAAATTTACTGACCTGCCATTCTCATCCTCCTAAGTCTTCCTCATGGAGGAACCTGAACTTGAAATTCTGTCACCACCAACCGTAACTGTTAAGTGTTCCTGCCGCTCTTAGCTCAGCGTTCCATCTAGCACCTGAGCGCTGCTACAGCAACCGCCTCCTCCCTGAATCTCCGGCCTCAGGAGTTGCCCTCGGGGGGCCTGGCCAGGAGGGCGGCATGGCCAGCACCACTGGCCTGCACGAGTGAGCGAGCCAGAGCCACTTCGGTAACGGCTAATCAAATGAGGAATGGAGATAAGATTGAAAGATGAGTTACACATACTAACTGGAAATCTTTCTCTTTAGATGGAATCTGCCTGTGTCTCCATTCACGAAGCTCTAAAGTCTGTCATCGACTATCAGACTCACTTCCGTTTGAGAGAAGCTCAAGGCCGAAGCCGAGCAGAAGACCTAAATACCAGAGTGGCCTACTGGTCTGTAGGAGAAGCCCTCATTCTCCTGGTGGTCAGCATAGGGCAGGTGTTTCTCCTGAAAAGCTTTTTCTCAGATAAAAGAACCACCACAACTCGAGTCGGATCCTAACTACGGTTTGAGAGTTGACACACCATTGCCACCATAATATTGCTGTCCTCTAATTAATTGTAGGTACCGAAGAACTTAATATTGGCAACATTTTTAAACCTTCCTCATACACTTGTTGGGGGGTGATGTACCGTGCATATCCCCAAACTGTGGAAAGGACACCTTTTTTTATTTGTAAAGGTAGAAAAACTTTGGAACTTATTTTGGGCTCCCCACGTTAAATAGTCAGCACCAGTGATCTTTTCTTGGTTGTTTCTATCTACTCTTCGCACACTAAACTTTGGTATTTTGATTCCTTTTAGCCATTTAAAAGTACTTTTCTTATAGGTAGTGGATATTTTAAAAACCTTCAGTTTAATGTCTTGTGTGTTGTGGAGGAAGAAAATTACCTTTTAATTGTTTATAGTAAAGTTTTGTTTTTCAGAAAACCAAACGTGATTAACTGTAGCCCAGGCCCTATTCTGCACTGTTTAATTTGGGGGTGGGGGGAGCCACCGTGGAAATGTTAGTTAATATTGATATAATTTTAAATTGATGCATCATGGTATAATTTATTTCTTGCTAGTTTGGGAAATGTCAGATTTTTGGTTTTTGTGTTTATTCTATGACTTATAAGCAGATATGTTCTTTTTTTCATGAAGACATTCTTACCACAGGGAAAATAGTATGTTTCAATAGTGTAACAGTTTATACAGGCCTTAAAAATTAGACTGTTAAACAGGTAGAGTAATTACAGAAAAATATGATTCTATAATGGGAGGCAAATGAAATGAGAAAAGTTTTAGTGAGTTACCGGCACATAATTACATTTTCAGTGCTTTTACAGAGACAAAAGGTGGTCTGTTTCATTTTAACATTTTGATTGGCTGGTTCGGGCCCTAATGTGGTTTCAATGTCTGAGTCATTCCTGGCTTAAATTAACAGTTGTAATATTTGTATAGTAAAAGTGCCATATATTTTATCCTGATGGGTGTGATGCAGTGAGAAGTCAGTTTCTTTGGGTTTTTTTTCCTCTCTTTCTTGGTTTGGTTTGGTTTGGTTTTTGGTTTTTGTCTTGCACATGTAATTTGTACAATCTCTGGTTAGCCACCCCAAGATGATTTAAAACTTTAGAATGCTGTGTGTTTCTTATTTGATAATCTTCATCAATTGTACTGCATTTAATGAATATTAAACAGTGCATATTCTGTACACTATAGGGTTTAGACTGTGTTTGTATTTTATAATTTGTGTAGACTGAGCTGATCGAAATAAGATTTGTTCAGGTGTTCCAGAAGAGAATACGAGACAAATGCGAAACTATAGGTGTTTAAAGCTTTTCTGCTGTTAAAAAAAAAAAAAAATGCAGCAGCTTTTTGCCCTCCCTTCCTCCCCCACCCAAGACTGTGGAGTGCTAAACAAGGCTGTCCTATTGTAGAGACACCTCTGGTAAGTGACACAAAGCTAGCATACTGATTGAATAGCAGTTCGAGCCACTTAGCACTGCAGACTAGAAATTAATTCCTAATGCTAAGCTGTCTTTAACCGTCTTCGAAAAGCATATATGCTTCTGCATGTCAGAGCAAAACGAATTCACAGTTGTCATGCTTGCTAACTTCAGATACCCACTGTGTAGCAAGGGACGAACCCGTTTTCAACCCTTGAATTCTAAAAATTTCTAAGACCAAGTAGCAGCTCCTTAGACTGTGTATCAGCAATGGAAGTCTAAGATTTTGCAGATTTATCTGTTTGGGTTCTTGCAGTAGATTTGTCCTGCAGCTTTGTAAGTGTCCCTCTACATAGATTGGCACATTTTCAGCGCTAGCTTTAATGTGACTGATAAGCAAGGGCGTATGTCCAGTGTCCTTCTCTCTCATTGCCTATCTGCTCTATCGCCTTCAGACACTTAACACCATAACGAAGCAGAGCTGGGTACCATCAGTGCCCGGAGTTAGCAAAAGTAATGCAGTCATTTGATCTGTGCCTATCAAAACCTCATCATACTGGACTACCACCATAAATAACTTCTGATGGCACTCTTGAGACCTGTTAAAATTTCTGAAATCGCCCCGTCACCTGCTGTAGAGGATAGTACAGGCTTAGTCTCGTCTGTATATAACTGGTTCAAGTTTGATGGCTGTCGGTACTGAACCGGGTGTGTATAGATAAATTAGAAAATACATCTCTATCCAGACCTAAATGTCAAGACCTTTTTTCTTTCTTCCTCCTACTATGTAATTTGTAGCTCATCTTTTTTCTTTAATCCTTTCATAACTTGTTGGAACAGTTTGAGTTTCCCAAATATTTATGTTTAGACAGATGGCTCAGAATATATATTTAACATCACTAGCTGTATATATTTTTAAAGTAAAATAAACAATGGAAAGGGACTTGATACATAAGTTTATTACTAAAATTCCAACTGTGTTAAGATATTACTTTGCTAATAATCTAAACATTCTTTTTTCTATTAAAGAAACAAATGGTTTGTGGTTCACAGCTTTCATCCTGACTGATAAGATAATCGACTTTGAAAATACAGTGAAAAAGCAGTTTTATCTTTGAAAGATTTCATTTAAATCTCTGTACATCCATTTTTGCTTCAGTTTGTAAATGTGTAACATTTGTAGTTAAATAGGACAAAGCAGACCCTATGACTATTGTTTTAAAAAATTAAACAAGTTAATATATAAATAATTCAAAGGGGGTTTTCATTTACTTCTGAAAAGAAAAATTTCTCTAACCAGATGTTGGTTCTCTGGGATCGCACCAATCAATTCTTGTAGAATAAAAAAAAAAAATCTTTCAACAAACTGACTTCACTTGTTTCTCTCAGGATTTGTCTTTTTAAAGCTCCTTACAAACTTGCAGCTTGGGCTATAGTTTGTAGTGAGAGTGATTTTTTTTCTTTTTTTTTTTAAATCAGGCTCCACACCCAGTGTGGAGGCCAGCTCAGGGCTCGATCTCACAACCTTGAGATCATAACCTGGGCTGAAATCAAGAGACAGATGCTCAACTGACCCACCTAGGCACCCAAGAGAGTGATTTTTGTTCGGTATTTCATTTAAACATCTCAGGGGCTGGCCAAGAAAGAAAGATAAAGAAGAATACCACCTCTAAACTACCTCCTTTTTAGCCTTTGTGTATTTCTTACTGAAAGTTTGGGTGAAAAGGAGTTAAGCCCTCTGTTCCCTGAAAAGCTCTTCATTTATTTTAAGTAAATTAACTGCAGTTGTTCGATACCAAGTTTCCTCAAGTTTTTTTTCTTCCCTTTCATAATGCAGTCATAGGAGACGTTCTGGTTCCTGGGCAAAATTCAACAAAAGTAGCAGAGAAGGAACAGTAAACCTAGGTTAATATTTATTGAACACATACCCTGTGTCAGGTGCTATGCTAAGTATTTTACTTGTAGCAACACATTTCATCTTAGCGATAATCCCGTGAACTAAGGATATTCTTCCCATTTCACAGATGAGGAGATGGAGGCAACAATAGGTTAAGGAGCCTTCCTTTATCTCAGTCATGAGCATCAGTGGTGTGACCCATGGCAGTCCGGCTCCAGAACCCTCTCCAGCCACTCTGGCACTGCCTTCCACACCCCAACTAGGGGTAGATCTCCAAAGGTTTCGCTGGCTTGATTTCAGTATAGCTCAACAGCGGGTCAGGGCTTTTTGGCTTTGGAGTCACAGCCAAGTTCAAATCATGGTTGTGTGACCTCACACAAAGGATTTTATGAACTCCATGTATTTCTGTTTCTTCATCTATTGCTAAGGTAATTTCTACTATAATGGGAGGTGTTTGTGAAACACTTAGCATCAGTGCCTATCACATAGAAGTACTTAATAAATAGCTCTATTTTTCTCATTGGTCCAGTTCTAGTCTCTTGATCTTTAGTTTCTAAGGTTCTCACTATAGCCTCTGTTCTGTGGCTCTTAGATGATATGTAACACAAGTGTGAAAGTGTTTATCTACCATGTACTTCATAGTCTGCTAGAAGTTTCAAAAATGAGTAAGACAGCCAGACCGCCAGGAGCTTAACTTAGTTGAGGGAGACAGGATAGCTCTATGGGCAACTAATGTTACATAAGTAGTGAACCGACTTGGAGTCTTAAGACATTGTAGGATGCTCAAAGTGAAAGAGAACGTAATGGATCTAAAGACTTACTGCCCAAGGAGTTTAACTCTGTCTCCCCACAGGGGAAGCCCATGGTTGTCTAACTAGGCCAGTGATTACATGGATTAATCTCTAATTCAGGGATATGGACTATTAGCCAGTCTCCGTTGCTACGTATTGAAAACACATGTTAACTTTGTTAATAATAAACGTGATGTTTGATCTAACTTCTCTGTCATGGTTGCTTCCAAATTTGGGGAGGAAATATAAGGATGTTATCCCTACACCACCAAATGCGCTGTTTTTCAGTCCATATCTCTCCATTTTATCCATAATATATTAGAAGTGATCAGATTACTTGCTGGAATCAGGATAGACGAAAAATACCTCTGGTCTGGTACAACCTCTTAGCGCTGGTAACTACTAGTGATTACTACTTTAATAAAGAAAAGGCAACACAAGAATTTGAGAATCAGTGGTTCAAAGAGTAAAATCCACTCAATTCACCATCCACTTGGGTGTATTTCGGTTACTTTTATCGATACGTGTATGTATATTTTTTAAAGAGTTGGTATTATATTGCCTGAATAAGATTTTCAACTTAAAATTGTAAAATCTGACAAAATATAGAAGTCATTAAATATGTATAATTTAAAGAGAAATAATTTAAAGCATACATTCATATAACCGGTGCTGAGGTTAAATGCGGCATTGCCAGCACTGTAGTCGGCTTCTGTGTGTCCTGAACTGACCACATCCTTGTCCTTCCCCACTAGGCATAACTAATGTTCTGATAGTAATGAAAATTGTTTTCTTATTTTTCTTTTTATTCTTACCAGTTTTGTGTAGTAGTTCTTTCAAGCCACTTTTCTTTTTTTAAGATTTTATTTATTTATTTGACAGAGAGAGCACAAGTAGGCAGAGAGGCAGGCAGAAGGAGAGGTAGAAGCAGACTCCTCGCTGAGCAGAGAGCCGGACGCAGGGCTCGACCCCAGGACCCTGAGATTATGACCTGAGCTGAAGGCAGACACCTAACGACTGAGCTGCCTGGGTGCCCGGTGTAGGATCTCTTGAGAATAATTCATCCAAGAGTAGAACTGTTTGCATATGGAGTATGTGTATCTTCATCTCTACTAGGTCATGTCTCACTTTTCCAAAGCGATTGTAGCAGTCAGTGCTTTGACCAGCAGCAGGGGAAGGCTCTACATTTGGCATTGTTAGACTTGAAGACTTTGAAACATCTCCTGGGCGTGTGATACTGTAAAGGCAACATCTAAGAATTTGAGAAGTAATAGGGCAAAGACTACAATCCACCTGTAGAATCCACCATTTTAATGTATATTGGTTACCTTTTTAGATACATGTATATGTTTTTAAAGAAACTGGTATTCTACTTGGTGTTGCATAATTTGCATTTCCATGAGGTTCATTTGTTTTCTTCTCACAGCTTTGCTTACCCTTTGGATTTCCTCTGCTCTCAAGTCCCAGTTGAAATCATTTGCCCATTTTTAAAAAAGGGATTGTTTTGACTTTTTTTGGTTCACAGGATTCCCTTATAAATTCAGGAGGCTAAACCTTTGGTTATAACTGTTTCAAATATTTTCTAACAGTCTGTTTATCTTTCTGCACCTAATGGAATGTATCAGCTTTTTTTTATTGTTGGTTTTGTGTCTTGTTGAAGACATACTTCTCCATCCTGGAGTCACGAATATCTTCTTTTGTACCATTTTCTAAATTAAGTATAATTTTGTTTTTTACTTGAATCAAGTTTTACATACAGGCTAAGATATATAACCTTATTCTCATTTTTTTCTTAATTCCTTGCTCATCTTTCTCTGTTTTGATTTGCCATACCAATTCTTGTCATCAATAAATGCCTGTATTTACCGGAGTCTATTTCTGGGCTCTTCGTTCTGTTCCATCGGTCAGTCTGTCTGTACATCAGTAACATATTGCCTTAATTACTAAAGACTTTAAAATTCTTGATGTCTGGTAAAACAAGTCTTTATACCTTTTTTCTTCAAGATTTTGGCTGTCACCTCTCCTTGGCATATTTGTACAAAGTTTGGAATTAGCCCAAGTTTCAACTAAACAAAATAATCTGTCACTTTTCTGCATTACTTAGCAATATTTAGCTCAGATTTTCAACTTCCTAGTCTAATACATATTTTAAAATAGAATTCCAGGGGCGCCTGGGTGGCTCAGTGTGTTAAAGCCTCTGCCTTCGGCTCAGGTCATGATCCCAGGGTCCT